AGGAGTCACTTGGCAAGACATGAGCAAGTCCATTCTCATAGCTGCTCTGCTTTGTCTCAGAAGAACAAATATTCAAGCACCCCAATTCTTTAACGGCAAGCGTCAAAATAATCTACCGAGATCTCCCCTCACATGTCCCTCCTTAGGGAGGTCCAAAGTGTGGGAAATTGGCCCTGTTTTGCTCCCAGGGCTCCGGACCCGGTGGACACTTAGGTGTCGCTGAGACTTTGGAGGAGGAAAAACTTCTTCCCAATAGGACTGCCTAGATGGGGGGGATCAGGGAAGGCCCTTCTTGGCCCCCCATTTCATGGTTTCCACCCTCATGGCCTGGTTCTGCCTGGTGATGTTTTGGTGCATAAACAGCCAATGTGTAGATGCTTAATTGGGTAGATTTTTGGTCACATGCCCAGAGTGAAGTTGATGATCTCTGCCAGGGTCAGGAAGGAATTTTCCTCCTCTGGCAAACTGGCCAAGCCTGGGTGGTTTGCTCCTTCCCCTCTCTCTGGAAGGCTGAGCAGAGGTGCCTGGTTGATCAGGCCATGGGCACCACACCTGTGATTGCTGCCTCGGACTCGTGTCGGGGCAAGAAGCCCACAGGCCTGTCCCTCTGACTGTGCGGACCCCCCTTTGCACACCTGGTGAGTGAGCCGACTCTCAGAGGGGTTTGAAGCTGGTGGAGGCATCGGGGAGCCGAGCTTCTCTATCACTTTCTCATTCCAACAGGTCCCTACGGCCAGCCTTTCTCACGCGTGGAAGGGAACCCACCTGATTCCCTTCCCTTGTGTGGATTGTGATTGAGCCTTTCCTACTTACTAGGCAGCTACAGTGGTGGCTGGGGGAAACAGATTCCAACAGCTGTGGCAGTGTGGATGGGCAGTGAGTGAGGGTTCGAAGTGCTTAAGGGACCAGGCTAGCCCAGGCAAAGAATGACCAGAGCCCACTGCTGAAGGTAGTGGACATGGGAGGGAAGGGAGAAGAGGAAATCGGGGGGCCTTTGCAGAGCTAAAAGTTTAATCTCCATTCGTAGTGGTTGGATTTGTCTCCAATTCAGTGAGCTTGCTTGGCCACAAGATCCAGTATAACGGACATATATGCGTGTGTGCGTGCTCATGTTTGGATTCATTCAGGCAGATGTCTGGAGAAAATCATGGAGCCGGGGCACATCTCAGAGTCCCCCCATCAGCGTGGTCATTTAGTAAATGAAGAGCGGAGGCACAAAAGGCAGAATCATGACTCCCAGTCAGTGCTCTTTCCATGATGACAAACCAGCCAGCCCCTCAAAATACAAAAACATGTGCCTAGGACAGCAGGCCTAGGACCCTCCCTGGATCTCCTTTCCTGTCCTGCTGCTGATTCTAGGTCTATATAACCCAGTGTTTCTCAACCATTGTTTCATTGTCGCTCCCAACTAAGGAGGCTTTTTAGATAATTTTGTCATAGTCATTACCCCCACATCGATGTACTTACTGCATATCATTTATGTACTGTGGCCCTTTAGAGGGTCATGAGACATAATAATGTCTAAGATTTTTTTTGACCCCCAAGAACCAATTTTTCCCCTCTAACGTCAATGTCACCCCCATTGGGAACGCACGGTCAAACTTCAAGCCTGGGCCTACATATTGCTGGACCTCAATGTACTGGCTGAGAAATGGGTCCCCAAACAGCTGGTTCTTTCCCCCCCCCACCCTCACCCTGTTCCACCTACATTAAAGAACTCTTAAGAGCTAAAATGTTCAATTATTGCAAGGACTTTCAAGGGTCTAGGAAGCTAAGCTACTGAATACAAAGCAGCCATTATTCCTGAACTCTCACACCTAGCGCATGCTGGCTAAGTGGCCAAGGTCTTTTGTGGAAAGCCCAGAGTTAATAATACGCTCTCCAACTCTAATAGCAGAAAATAAAAAATAAATCTGCTTTTATAAAAGACATTTTTTTTTCAAGAAGCAAGAAATAATTACAGAAAAAAAAAATAGCCCTTGGTACACCTTTAAGAAAACTCAATGGATATAATTCGTCATAGAAGAGATTACCAAAGGAAATCAGATCCGGTACTCACTTGTGTACAGCAAGTGAGTAGGTTGCTGTAAAGAGGAAAAGAAATCCTTAAAAGAGGTAAATATCCTATTGATCCGAAATATTCCTAATGTTTTGATAATCAAATTCAATTTACCAAATGACTTTTGAGAGCTATTTAGGTCAGGTGTAAGTGAGGAAGTGCTCACTCCTGCTATTGTGTTTTTCACCTGGAGGATTTCTAATTGATGGGGAAGACCTGGGGACAGTTCTATTTTCTTCCATTTGGACTACACCCCTCCTTTCTCCAAACACCCCCATGAAGGTCATGTCAGAGGTCGGCCATCTTCTTCCTCAGTTTTCTGAGACTTTACCTTTAGCCCTCACTTATGGGAGCTTCTCTGAGGTCAAATCCACAATGCAGAAGGGGGGCTTTGGGCTCCAGGGGCCCTCCCCTCCCTCATAACCTCCCACCCCCATCCCTCTTCATCCTACCTCCTGCTCAGGATATAAAACCAGCCAATCCGTGGGAAAATCAGAGTCCAAACTCAGGCAGCCTTGACCTCTGTTTGATATGGCTCCCAGGGGGAGATCCATGAACATGATAATCCAGCGGGCAGGTTAACCCTCTCTGGGAACCAGAAAGGAGGCTTCCCAGTGGATCTGGTGACTCTCCAAAGACGGCCCAGAAAGGGTGCCAGAGTCTGAGAATTTGAACTCGGTTATTTCTCTGTAACTGGAGGGCAGTTCTTATGCATATTTGATGAAGATAATGATGGTAGATTTGCAAGCACCCCCAAAGAACTGATCTTTGATTCTAGAATCACACAACCCCTGCCCTTCTCAGTATTGGGGTTCCATTTGATATGTAAGTGTGTTAGGGATATGTCTGTAGGTAGATGTGACTGTGAGTGTTTCTAGAAAAGGAAGCAGATGATCCAAAATTCGGAAGACTTAAGAACTCACTACAACATAATGTTGACACCCATTGACTGTATGACCTTGAGCGGGTTATGCAAATTCCCTGGGCCTTACTTGTCGCAACTATACAATGATGGGGTAAAGGGAAAGATTGGACTAACTCCGGACTTTCCAACACATGGCGCTCACACCACTCATGATAGAGGAAATAGATCTGGTCAGGGGTAGGCAAACTTTTATTTCAGGGGCCAAGTAGTTAGTATTTTAGGATATACAGGCCCAAAGGCAAAATGGATTATAGTAGGTGGGTATTTATATAACCGTTTACTATGTAACTATTTACAAATGTAAAATCATTTTCAGTTGTGGACCATTCAAACATAGGTGGTGGGCTGGATTGGGCCTGTAAGTTGTAGTTTGCTAACCTCTGATTTAGGTGATGCATGGACCAACAGTTTTTATTTAAGTGCTATGTCTTTATTTTTCTGCATGTTAAAAGGAGACAGAATTTCCACCTATAATGGTGATATAAAGCTTTCCTTTTAAATAAATGTAGTTGTTTTAAAACAAAAAGGAAGTTGTTTTTTTTTTTAGCGTGTTAAGTAAATTATCGGGATGGTAGGCAAATGACTAAAGTTTGCAAAACACTGAACTAGATGATTATTAAGCCCCCGGCCATCTGAAAATTCTATATGCTTAATATCCCAAGATCCAGAATCCAGTCTTTGGTCTGACATTTAACCTACCAGCTGTGTGACCTTGAGCTGCGGGGTCCCCTTTGCAAAATGGGGGTAGAAGCTCCCTATCTCATCAACATTATTGTGATAATCAGAAGAGAAGTTGGGCAAACAGATTTTTCTAATTTACCAAACATGAATTCTCTTTTTTTTTCTGAATTGTGGGAATATGGGAAGCAGCAAACTTGAAAGATGAGACCAGCATGGGCAGGAATGCACATGAATGAGGGCCCCGAGCCCATTCCATTTTGCCCTCTTTCTAGCCTCAACCAGACACCTTCTCCCAAATCTTCCTCCTCGCCAGTGTATGCAGGGAGGAGAGCCCTGTGATTAGGAACATGACTTCTTAAGTGGATAAACCTGAGTTGTTATCCAAACTCCACCATCTGCCAACCAGGTGGTTTGGGGTATCCGACCTAAAATCTTAAGCATCCATCCTCATCACTAAAACAGAACCTGTCTCAGAGTTTGCTCCGAGGAGACCATGAATAATCAATATAAAGTGAAGTGCTCAGCACAGAACCCAAAGTGTAGTAGGTATATGTTCCAGTTATCACAGGTCCTCACTCTCTGAACCCAAACCGTGGGACTAGATGTGCTGCAGAATTCAGAACTCCTCAGGTATTAGGAACGTTATACAGTATATATATACTGCAGGATACAGAATCCTCTTCTCTGGGTATTCCTTCTAAGAATCATATGTATTGTATGTATCACATGAATATCCATCAAGTAGAATAAATAAAACTGTAATTATAATTATAAAACTACAGAGCATAGTTATAATGTATATATGTATAATACATTGCTTATATACATATATGTGTGTGTGTATATATATGTGTGTGTCTATATATATATATGTATGTTTAGTACATGGTTTATGTGCCTGAGTATAGATGTATGGATGTAATATATACATAACAGTATATAAAACTATATAACAATAATTTTGGATGGTTTTCATTTTATTTTGTTTTGTGTTTTGCTGGGAAATAAGTTTGCAAACACACACACATACTTTCAATTTCAGAGCTTGTGGATTTCAGAATGTGGGTAAGGGTTTGGGGGTGTATTAACATACAGCAACACTTGCCCAGCCTTCAGAAGCATATGGTTAAACGTTACAAGCCAGAGTTCAGGAGTCAGATGTGAGCCAGTAGGAAAAGTAAAGAAAGAGGCAGTATTGCGTCATAAGAGCCTCCTGTCAAGCCCTGAGCTTTGCCACTTACGGGCCATGTTACGTGGGCAACTGTCTCAACCCCACTGTCTAGGTTTTCTTGTACGTAAGACAGGGACAGATGTACAAACTTCTTGGGATGTGGCAAGGATTGAATAACATTGTGGCAAGCACGCAGAGAGGTACCTGGTTCCTAGGAGGCTGCGTGTTTGCTATTAAAAACCGACTGTACCCCATGGGGGGTTCCTGCATTGTGGCCCTCGTCGGCTTCCTCACAGCCCTCTCCTGCCGTTGTAGGGTGATGTTGGACTCAGTGACACACAGTACCTTCCTGCCCAACACGTCCTTCTGTGACCCCCTGATGTCGTGGACTGATCTGTTCAGCAATGAAGAGTATTATCCTGCCTTTGAGCATCAGACAGGTGCGTAAATCCAGAGAAGCCCATCCGAGCTGGGAAGAGCTTGGGCAGGAGGTGGTGCTGGCCTCTAGGAGGCGGCAAGGCCATGCTGGGGGCCTGAAAATGCCAGCTTCCACCAGTGTTCAGGGCAGAAGACTGGAGGAGGTCTGGGAAACAGGCGGGGCAGCTTCTGCAGAGAGAAAAGTACCAGAATCCTCACCCCAACCTCTTCCCAGCTCTGTGGCCTTGGGGGACTCTACTAACATCTTCGAGCCTCGTTTTGCTAACAGAATCAATCTCTTGGAGTTATTATATTTAAGCAATGTAGTGGAAAGAAACCCTTAGCCTAGAGCCTAGCGCGCTGTGATTGCTTGATCATCATGGTTTTAGCTAACATTTGCTGAATACTAGCTATGGTTCAGGCCCTGTGCCAAGCACCCATCTCATCCTTACAGCAGCCCTATGAGAAATGAACAATTATTATTTCCACTGTATGGATGAAGAAACTGAGGCACAGAGAGGTCAAGTGACTTGTCCAAGGTCTTATGGTTAATTAAGTTTCGTGCAAGTTGACTTGAGCACCTATATTCTTAAGTATCCTACATGGTCATCTTATAAATGATGCTACCCTGTGGTTATCGTTATTAATATTACTGTTTTTCTCTGAGCTTCTATTTCCTTATCCCTAAAGCAGGGATGATGAGAATCACTGTGAGGATTACGAGAGCCAAACTGCCTAAAATACATAGCTTGGCCCAAAGCAAGTGCTCGGTAAACATGAATCCCTACACTGTCCACCAGGCCTCCCTTCCCACCCTTCCTCCTCTCTCGGCCGGTTTTCTCCACCTAAAAAGGAAGCATGGGGCCCTGTGCAAATCCCATGCCAGAGGGGGGCCAGCTGAGCTTTGCCCCAGCATCTCTCTAAGGGCCTCTGTCCCAGGTGCTCGGGTGACTGCACATCACAGCAAACCTGGCAGAGGGCTCACAGGGCGGGTGCACGCCCCGAGGCTGGTGATGCAAGTCCTAATCAAGCTGTCAGTCCTCACGGGGCCTTAACCCTGTGCCTCCCGGCTTGGCATGGTCCACACTCAGGGGCAGGAGGCAGGCGGGTCCAGGAGAGGCCAAGCCTCTGAGGCTGCTGCAAAATGTCTCCCACCAGAAGGAAGCCCCTGCCTCCAGGCCAGAGGCCAAGGCCTCACAGACACACCTGAGGCACTTACCTCCATAATCCAGTCCTGCCCCTGCTCCTACCACCAACGCAGGAGCTCATACACGCACAGGATGTCTCTCCCCCTGTCTGGAGGGTCCTGAGTCATCCAGATACATATTCCAGTTCTCCTTTAGGCCTAAGAAACACTCTGATTCAGAGATAATGAAGAATGTCCTCTATTTCTGCCCCTCAATATTTGGTTGAGGCTAAGTTTGAAGGAGGAAAATGAAGGCTTTTGTGTCCCCATTGTCTCCCCCTTTGTCTGATGATGGCAGGGTCCAGAAAGAAGGTCCTTCTCTCCACACATGCATAACCCAGACCTGCCGTCCCGGGAGCCCCCTCTTCCTGCCCATTCTGCCAGGTGGCAGCTAGAGAGGTGGCAGGAGGGGATGGCCTGTCTGCCCAGGGAAGTGTTCCAGGCACTGGAGCAGTTTCTGTAGTCATCGAGAGCTCAGACTTTGGAGCCGCATTTAGGATACTAAATGCAGTCTGGCTTTGAGATTTAATAACTGTAGCATTGTAACTTCTTGTGCCTTAGTTTTCTCATCTGCAAAATGGAGATGGCAATAACGCCTACCTCGTAGAATGGTTATCAGGGCAGTTTGTGAATATGTGGGAAGTGTTTGGGACACAGTCAGGTGCAGGACAAGCACACACGGGCGTTTAAAAATGAAGGACTAATTTCAGTTTGGGAAGATGAAAAGGTCCTGGAGACGGGCAGAGGTGATGGTTAGCACAATCATATGAATGGACTTAATGCCACTAAACTCTACACTTAAAAAGAATTAAAATGGTAAATTCTAGGTCTATTTTACCACAGTAAAACAAAAACAAAAACGAAGGGTTAACAGAAGTGATCACCAGTAGGATTGCCAATGGGGCTGATACCTGACAGTCTCAGACATAAAGACACAGCTTTCTCCTGTCTGAGGCCTCTGCATTTCCAGCTCGGATGGGCTAATGAGAGGTTGGACCGGGTCATTGCTAAGACCCCTTCCAGAAGCTTCTCTGATTCCTGCATCACAGATGTAGCCCTCTTCTTCCACCACCCATTGAGAGAAGACCAAATCCCACCAAGGCATGAGGCCGATGAAAATAAAATATACTGCAGGAGTAACCCTCCCTGAGGGAGGAGCCCGACTTTTGACTTGCCACCTGGCTCTCTGGATTCCTGAAGGAGCTGAATGTCTCTGACCTCCTAAAGGTGGAGAGAAGTTGGATGTGCAAGGATAGTTGAGAGCTGCCTGGGCACTGGGTGGGCCCTGTAGGCCCTGGCCCTCCTCAGAGCACCCGCCTCTGTCTTTTCTATCCCGGAGAGGTGACGCTGCCATCCAAGCGTCTGCAGAGAGGGAGGCAGCAGGGGACTGCAAACTCCCCGCGGTCTGTGGCCAGTGTGACATCCCTCCAGCCCCACGCCTCCCAGTTAGTGGAAAAACAGCTCGGTCTCTCTCCCCTCTTCATTTCTCCTATTGAACAAAAGCAATAAGGGGCCCCATCTCATCCTTTCCAAGTCAGGATTTGACAGCTTAGATACTTTGAGACCAAAGGGAAAGAAAGGGAGAAAGAAATGATGTGCCCACTAGACAACCGATGTCTACAAGAGGGCAGGGAGGAATAATCAACTTAGTCAGGAAAACCGGGTGTTTTCACAACCTTTTCCAACAGCTGTAGCCGACAGCAGCCGAATCTGTGCCCGCCACGCGCTAACCACAAAGGATCGGACCTGCTCTTTGAAGCGGGCCTTCTGCGTGGCCTCCCCGCAAGGCTGGGGAGGGGATGCTCACAGACTGCAAAATACTCTAGAATTTCATTAACTCCCTGTGGGGCTTCCCTTCTGCTCTCTTAAAATAAAGAATTACCGACACTGGAAAACTTTACCAAAGTATGCAAGGCGGGCCATCTGTACTTCACAAGCGTATGATACTTTTTAAAGATATTTCTCCACTCAAGTTCTGACAAGTCATGGAGTACCCCGGCCTCACACCTCGCTGCTGGCTCTCCGCCCTGAACGTGCACACACCCACACAGCCCTCCCGTTTGCCGAGGTGACCACGCCGACATGCGGTGCCCCCTCTGCTTTGGATTCTCGTTACTACTTTGTCTGCAGCAAAGGTTTCTAGATCGGGGCCATTCCAGGGGTTCCTGAGCGGTCCCTCAGGAACCTGGGGTGACGGTTGAGAAGGCCGGGCTCCAGCTGCCACTCTCCATCCCCACTGTCACGCAAGGCTCTTGCACCTTGAAGGCACGAAGGCCCAGCTCCAGGAGCTGGAGAACCCCTACATGACCTACTCCCAGAGGACTAGGACTGCCACTTCCTCAGAGGACCTGGTGGCGGGGGGGAGGGGGGCCACAGGAGCACAGAGGAGAGCACGCTAACTGCTACATCCTCGGTGCTCCACAAATATGTTAGCTGTTGCTACACCATGAGAAATTTTATTTAAAAGAGAACTTTATTTGAAAAAGTGCAAAATCTTTTGGGTATTAACATCCAGAAGATCAGGGAGAGAGGCATTTGGGTCCCACGTGGGCTTTTGTCAGCAAGATCCATGCACTGGGTATAGAAGTCTGAGAGCACATGCAAAAGAGTCTTAAGAATCTCTAAATGAAAACCAGATAAATAACATCATTGAAGAGCGTGAGGTGGGCCCGTGGCGGTGGTGACATCCCGGGAGCACCCCCAGAGAGAGATCTCAGTGCTCACCACCAGCAGCCCACCCTGCACACATCTGAGCCTTCTGGGAAGCTGTGGCCTCGGGACCACTAGGGGCTTGGTGCTCCCTGCGCCTTCCCAACCCCACATGCCCCAGGCCATAGCTCTTTGCTGATGCCCACCAACCCTTCTAGTCTCTTCTCCATCCAGTTTCTTACACTACTCCGGGCTTCCCTCCCATTCCACCATCTCATGGTCTAAATCATTCCACAGGCTTGGAAGGAAGGCCAAGAAGGGCTATTAGATGGAGCTCGACCATCCCTGGAAGGAAACCTGGAAACAATTTTTCATTTCAGGCTCCCCCCGCCTCCCATAAAGTCCTTCCTTTCAGTGACAAAGCCACAATTGATGGTGCCCCGTGCTACCCAGTCCACTCGCAGGCTCTCTTCAGTGCGGCCCCAGGCAAAAAACTTTCCCAACTCCCTATGCTAATAAATCACACTAATTACAGTCCAGGCTGTCTAACTTGGGCCTCCTGTGACCCAGACTCTCTGCCTCCCCACGCCTAGCCCTGGGCTTGCTTTGTTCTGCTTGTCCCTCAGCTAAATGGAGGCTGGGGGTGGGGGGGGGGGGGGGGGGGGGGGGGGGGGGGTGGTGGAAGGTGGGCGTGGCCTCATTTCTCTGAGAAAAAACACAGTCCCAAAATAGTAACAAATTACAGGTGACTTATATTGAAGGCTTACTGTCCTCCAGATAACTGGGCTAAGTTCTTTACATGTACCATTTTTTTCCTTTTCACAGCAAACTTCCTATGAGGTAGGCATTATTGTTTTGCAGAAGGAAGCTGAGGTCCAGGGAGGTTAGGAAACTCCACTAGGGTTGCACAGCTAATACGATGAAGAGCCAGGACTGCAAATCACGGAGGTCCATTCCCCAGCCCATATTCAGTTAACTCCACACAATCCTCACCTCCCTTCCTGGTCCCTTCCTGCAGGTCCCTTGCTCTTCAGGTCATTCGATGGAACTGTAGAATGGAGGATGGGACAAGAGTCTGATTGAATTCTGGGAGCTGGCAGGTTCCTTTAGCTTCACAGAGTTTCTCACTGAGGCTCCCCGATCAGCGGAGGAGAAAGACCAAGTTCTCCTGCAGAGGGTCTGGGGACCGAACTCAGAGCTCTAAGCTCAAATTATTTTCACAGTCTCCAGTCCCACAGATTTTGCATTCTGCTGCATATCTATTTTGTTGTAATAAGAAAAGTCAAAATCCGCCCCCAGATATTTGCTTGAAGGGAGGCTCCCCCAAAATGAACAATGTTGGCTCCAGAATTTCTATGTAGGAAGGGCTCAGGGGCAGCCATCCATTTGGAAGAGATGGCAAAGGGACTCGCCTAGAATTTTTTTAAGAGCACTTTGCCTAAGATTGAGAAGACCACAGATGTCTATAATGAAGAAAGAAAGTTATGGATTACTGAACCCACACTCTGGCATTTCCACGGGAGATGCACAGGCATTAATCATGTGGGTTCAATTACCCTTGGCACCCTCTGTCCACACCCCCGCCCCGGGGCAGGGGATTAGCCCCTGTCCCTGCCCCTCCACCCCAGCGTCAGAAGCATCGTCTCGTGTGTGTCCTGAACACCAAGCATTTTACAAAATCACACAGACTCGCCAGTATCCCCACATTTTGAACAGTATTGGCCGCCTAACTCAGGCTGCCCATTCAAGGACAAATTAGCTTCGTTTATAATATAACTTCCTCAGTTTTCATTAAGAAAATAAACCCAAATCTCTGGAAAGGAACAAAGCTGCTGACCTACACACACAGAGAGAAAGAACATATTAGAAGTATTTGAGGAAATATAAAGTAGGTGTATGGGTAGCCTCAATATTAAGAAGTATACATGGATGGTATTTGATGAGCACTTACTACATGCCTGCCTCTGTTCTAAGCACCTTCCGTGGACATTCCCTGCTGACCGTGTGGGTATTTGAGTGTGCCACCCCAGTTCTACAGGCTTAAGCCCTCCCTGAATTTAAATACGTCCCAAGTTATAGCATCATTTGTGAGAATTCCACCCCCCCCCCAGAATTGCTGAAAACCCCCTTAGCTGCTCAGTTCTTCCTCCCAGTATAGCTGGCCCTTAAACAAATGTCCTGACCTACTTCCAGCTTCAAAGGAGCTGACTGAGACTGTGCTTAATAGTGGCCCATGGACATTTAGATTAAGGCTACCAGGCATGGGATGTGATTCGTCCCCAACCCATACACATAGGCAGCAGGGTTTCAACGCTCAACTTCTCCAAAGAGTTTTGATTATTTATAAATGCTAGATGCATTGAGAAAAACACTTTGTATTTCCAGACAACATAATCTATTAAAGATAACATACTCTGTGGGTGCATTACCCCTTCTTTTATTTGCCCTGAGTTCATCTCTTCCAAGTAGCAAGAGGGTCTTCTTCATATCATCACAGAGGTTGCAAACCTTGTCATCATCAGTTTCTCATCCTTTTTCTGATTTTGTAAACCTTTTGTAACCTAAATTTTTATATGTATAAAAGATATATATATAATTTTATGTGTGTATATGCCTTTGTCCAAATCTTTTTTAGTCAGTCTTGGAGATGTGTGTCCAACTTGGTCCTCCTCAACCAAGAACAGTGAGGCATGCTATGATGCAAAATTCTCACATTTAAAGATGGAAAAATTGATGTGGACCTAACTGCCTAGCCATGTGGCCTTAGTAGGCCATAATCTCTCAGAACCTCCTTTTCCTCCCCTGTAAAGAGGGGATAATAGGCCTTGGTGATTTGGCCAGTTGGTTACACTCACTGGACACCCACAGCGGGGTAGGCCAGTCCCCAAGCACTCCTGACTCAGGGTGAGCAAAGCAGAGCTGGCCAGCCATGTGGAGTTCATGGTTTGGGGAGGGGGGTGAGGTATGAATCCTTCTGAGAAGGACACCTGCGGGGGCTGTGCAGGTATGGGAGGTCTCCCTGAGATGGGGGGAGTGAGCTGTGGTCTTGAAGATGAGTAGGAATTAGTTAGGAGAAGGTAGGTGGAGACCTTGTTCTGGGCCAGAAGCAATCCTGAGGGAGCGGGGTGGGGGGAAGGGTGAGGAGGGGCCAGATGAAGCAGGCCTTCCTCACCTCCGTAAGCCTCACCTCTGTGCCCCTCTAGTGAGGGTAGGACCACAGAAACACACCACAACCAGAAAGCACCCATGATGCTGGCTCTCTTTGCCCTCCGTGTAGTGAGAACAGCCATTTTCCTCTCAGCTCCCAAGGCTGTGGGAAGGCCTTTCCTGGTGAGGAGAGCCCGCCATGCTTGGCTCTGGCTCTGGCTTCCCTCCAGAGGGAGCTGCACACAAAGCCTGCTCTGTGGGTGAGCTTCAAGGAAAGAGCTGAGGGGAAGGGAGCCTGCCAGCAACACCTCCTCATGTCAGTGCCCACCCCCACCCAGCGTTTCTCTGAATCCTCTAGGCCCTTTGGCTTCCAGAAACAACATGGCCCTCTTCACGTGCCAAAGAAAATAACAAGGGGGTGGAAGTGGAGAGAGGAGGGAATGGAGACTTAGAAACCTTTCCATGAAAAGAAATAAAGTGTGTCCTCCAACTGCTGCACACCGATAGCCATCTCTGTTGGGCGCTCAGCTCAGGACCAAGGGCGGAAGAATTTCAAGGCTCATAAACGTCCCTCATCAGAATACCAGGAATGTCAAAGGCCCCCCTAGGTTTACTCAAGCCAAAAATCAGTAGATGAAAGCACAGACCAGACTGGAGAATGGCGCCCTATTTTCTCAGGAGACCCTATTGGCCACAAGGGGCCCCCCCACAGACTAGTGAGCCGGCTCCAGCCAGCGACCAGCAAGCAAGAAGAGAGGCAGCCCCCTTGTCTCCTCACCCACCAGGGAGAGGCAACAACATTGACCTCCACCATGCTGGCAGAGAACCCCCGACCCTTTATCCACATGCATATAAAGTTCTGATTAAAAATTTAAGATAAATTAAAACAAATCTATTGTTTAAGTTGATCACCCCTCAATCTACTCCATGGTGGGAAAGGAGATTTCTGGGGCTCTGACTTTTAGGGCAAGCCTCAGTTTCCTCCTTTGTGAAATCATACCTGTTTGGGAGGATTTGAGGAACTTGAGAAGCTGACACACAGGAGGTGCCTAAGAAGCTCCCAAGGGAGCAATACCCCTGAGAGGGCAGAGAACATCTCTCCTGCCTGGGATTGGAAGATCCACAGATTCACTGGGGACAGTGGCTGCAAATGCAACATTTATGGGGGAATCAGAATAGCCTCATCGATATTTGCTGTGGTGTCTTACTCATGAGTGACCTTTTCTGTCGTCCACACAGCCTGAGCCACACGCTCCTCTCTGCCGTTCTCCTCAGGCCTTCTCACTCTCTCTCACTGTCTGCCTCTGCCTCTCTCTCCACGCTTCATCTCTTCTCTGTCCTGACACTCTGAGGACCAGGTATGATGGAATGGGAAGAGCGATGGCTTTCAAGTTCCAACGAGGGTTTAAATCCCAGCTCTGCCGCACGCTGGCTGTGGGATTTGGGGCAAGTCCTCTGTGACCCTCCGGTTCATAATCTGTTACCTTCTAGGGGACAAGGACCAGACTTCCTACCGTGATTCTTTAGCTCACAATTTGTTGCTTCACACATAACAGGTGTTCAATGACAATCTTAATAATAGCATTAGAATCTTCCAGGCTCTGTTCTAAGTACTTTTGCATATGGTAGCTCATTTAATCCACGAAACAACCTATGACATAAGTGCTATCATTATCCCCATTTTGCCAATGAGGAGACTGAAGCTCATTTATTGAATGAATGAATGAATGAATGAGCACCATGACAGCCACAAGACTTGTGTCCAAGAGCCTAACCAAGTACCTGGTACCTCACTTCTTCCATACCCCTTGTCTGCCCCTCTTTCTGTTTCTCCTGGCATTGGGACAGAACTGTGGAGCACCCAATCTCTGTTCCAAGCCAGGCATGGCCACTTCCCAGCCTCCCAGACAAGATGGTGCCCACCTCTGTGTGGGTTTGTATGGGGCTCCTCTGAAGGAGTGAAGAGGCTCTGGCCTCAGGATGGAAAGTCCTCAAAGCATCATCAAAACCACAAAAACAACAATACAACCTACTCCCCCACTTCCCTCTTCCCCAGCGGAGGCTGCTGTGGTGACCCAAGCTCTGCTGGCCTCTGGGCAACGTCTCGCCAGATGGAGGCCCTCTGCACAAGATGACCAGAGGCCGTGCACAAACCAGTAGCTAGTGTCTGCAACTGTGTGTAAGAGCAGAGGGAATCAAACCAGCTTCAAATTGTGCCTGGCACACACTAGGCATTTAGTAACTATTGAATTGGTTGACAGTTTTCTAGGCACTACACAGCCTATACACCCGTCAACTCCAAACTGTATAACAGCCCGGTGAGTTGGGCATATTATACCTATTGTACAGATGAGGAAACTGAGGCTTAACTGTCTATGGACCCTGCCCAGGTCAAATGCAGCCCAACTCGGGTTTGAACTCAGGCTTGTCAGGCTCCAAAGACTGTGCTCTGGATACCCTGTTGTCTGAAACCCAACTGCTCAAGGGCCTTGTTCTTCCCTTTCTCTTCCCCCTCTTTCCAAGCACCAAAACTAGGCCCCCGTGCTCCCAAGCCATGACTGGGTTTCTCGCGGCTCCTTCTCTCTCCTGCCCCCAGGTGCTCCCGGAAGATCCAGTCTCCTCTGGTTTTTGCGGTGGAGCAGATAAGCCTGGGCCCCCGGAGAACACCCCACAGCCAGAGGTCCTTTTTACTCACAGCCGAGGGTTGTGGACGTTAAAGGAATGGGAAGCCTCCTTCAGGGAGACCCCTGGAGGCTTTCCTGGGGACCGCAGTCCCTCACTTTCTCTCTCTCCTGGTGTAGCCTGCGACTCCTACTGGACGTCCGTCCACCCCGAGTACTGGACTAAGCGCCACGTCTGGGAATGGCTCCAGTTCTGCTGCGAGCAGTACAAGCTGGACGCCAACTGCATCTCCTTCTGCCACTTCAACATCAGCGGCCCCCAGCTCTGCAGCATGACGCAGGACGAGTTCATCGAGGCGGCTGGCATCTGCGGGGAGTACCTCTACTTCATCCTCCAGAACATCCGCTCGCAAGGTCAGTGTCCAGGGGGCCGGGCCTCCGGGGGAGGGGCCGGGAGTGGGGCCCAGTTTACCTCCCCCTCCCCGCCCCCCAAGTGGGATTTCATGAACTGGAACTCTCTATTCACCAAAAGCCCCTTAACCAAAATCTCTCAATCCCTGGACGTTCTCCTTTGCTAGAATTAGAGACTGTAGGTCAAAGGGAGCAAGTTACAAGGAAGCACGTTGAGTACTTTTTTAACAAGAAAAGAAAACCTAAAAAGACATTCAGGAACCAGGCAGAGACAACGAAATAATGTATTCTGTTAATTAAGATTCGCCACCAGAAGACATGGGGAAAAAAAGAGCTTTCTGCTTGACTTTTCACTAAGCAGGAGGAGAAGAAAATGAACTAGACCCTGTCCCTTCCCGTTTCCGGAGGAGTCCAATTAATTGGCATTTCATTACTGCTTGCCTAATGGTCAGGGATCAAACAGCCGGAAGGTGGCGCCAGGGGCGTTATTTAACATTTCAATGCCCCACAAGAGCAGAATGTGGAAGAACAGGTGTTTTCAGATTGGAAATGTTTCTTTGAGAACATATAATTCTGTATCCCCATGTCACAGATAAAGGAACTAAGGTCCCAAGCGATTAGGTGACTTCTCCAAGGTCACACAGCACACAGAGTTGATTTGTGGAAAGTCAACACAAAGCAAGGGCTTTGAGTTCGGAAAGGCCTGTGTTGCCACCCTGACTCCAACGCTCTGGAGCCACAGGTCCTCTGGCAAAGGGCTTGCCCTCTCTGAATTTCCACTGCCTCGTCTGTACATTGGGATAATAATACACACCTTCACAGGTGACAGGACTCCATGAAACATGGCCCGGAGCAGCATATAAAGATGCAAATGCAGTAAATGGCAGCCGTTTTTGTCATTATGAATATAACCAAGGGGAAAGACATTTTAAAAAATAAGGAAATACATCTCAGTTCAATTTTAAGAAAGACTTTTCTAAAAGTTAGCCTCTTTTTTTTTTTTTTTTTGGAAAGACTGCTTCAGAAGATACTAAAGGTAGGAAGCTCCCCGTCACTGGAGATAATCAAGCAGGCTAATAGCCCCTGATTGATGGGGATGCTGTGGCAGGGATTCCTGTTTGGGCAGAAAACCACAGAGGACCTTCCAACTCTAAGATTCTTTGCTTTCCCCTTGCTCTCCCCCATCATGAGTGCCTGAGGGCAGGAAAGCTATGGATGTTGGCCCTGGGGCACTTCTCAGCTTCTGCCCTGGGAGCTACAACCCACCAGATGCAGCAAGGAAGGGATCAACAGACCTGGTGTCCATCATTGTCCAGTCTTGGCTTCATTATAGCCGGTGACAGGGCCCTGCCAGGAGCAGTGGCCCAGGGCATAGAGTGGGCCCTCCGTGAAAAGGAGAAAGTCTGAATAAATCACAGCAGCTCAGGGAGGGGCTCCTTTCAGAACCCCCCCTGGGCCACAGAGAGGGAGATGTTCCATCCTGGAAGAGGATGTAGCTTGGCATCACCAGCCTTCACCAAACATCATGTCAATCAAGTTTGTCTCCAGACCCCGGCATCCCCTGTGCTGGGGTCTCTCAGCCTGGGCGCCTCCCTTCCCTAACCCTTGTTTCATCCCCAAATCTCTGTTCCTGGAGCCATTATCTCAGGGCCCATGCAAAACAAGCCAAACACAATTGTTTTTCCAACAGGCCATATTTTGCCTCATATCCTGAGGAATCCCTGGGGTCACAAGGCCAACTCCAACGGTGGAATTTCAGGCCAGGGTAGTTAACCGTGTTGAGCAGTAGAACAACCTACACCACCAAGCTGCTCCACACTGAAATTCCTCCTTAAATGTTCCTTAAGCAGGAATGTATACTGTGTCGTGAATCGAAATACATGTAGTAAGACCAGAGTTTACAGCGTCCCAGTGTGCCCAAGACACACTGTTTCACCTGTTATCCCAGACTAATTATTACCAGCGCTATCTTTCATTCTCAAAAGTGTCTGCCTTTGTACAATAAATTAGATGATGATCTGGTTATTACCTAGTTTAGGCCTTCTTTTACTGCATGGATTAGGACTCTGGCAGAACAGGACACAAAACAAGTAAGTTTGGACAGTGGGAGGAGCTACAGGGAGGGGGATAGGGCCCAGTGTGCTGTCTGGCTCAGGAGGTATTTCAATAGGATTCAAGGGCTCAGAAACTCGGGGACACTGGTTGCTGGAGAGTGAGGCCAGCAGGGAGGGTGGGGGGCCGTGGGTGGCTTCCACGGTGGGAGTGGAATGGGTCCCTCATTGGTCAGTCCTCCATCCTGTTCTCGGGCAGCCCTCCGGGCAGAGTGCACCCAGGTGCCCTGGCTGACCAGAACCCATCAGAAAATGGCACTGGGAATAAACAGTCACAAATGTGTCCTGTTCCAGGCCCCTCAGTCAGTGGAAGTTAATCCTACTGAACACCAAGCTAGAAAAGAGGTGTCCCTTGGCCTGTGACACCACATGGTAACTTGATTTGAGACTCTTAATTCCCCCACCCAGCCCACCCCATTTTTCAGAGGAGCAAACCAAGGCCCCGACATAATCTCCCAAATTCTTATTATAGCCTCTCGGTGGGTCTTGCACTCCTTTTGGCTCCCTATGTCCATTTTCCCCTTACCAGCACATAACGGGCATTCAAACCCCCAAGGGATTGGCGGTCCCAAAACAGATCACAGACCCTGCGAGCAGAGCTGAAGGGGAACTCACTCAGCAGGAGTCTTGTCACATGCTGCCCGGAGACTGAGTGAAGTCACACTGGGGTGGTGATACGGCCCAGCTCAGGCAGGGCACAGGCGCCCTTGGAAAATCCTCGAGGCTGCTGGAATGCCTGGCCCCGGGGCCTGCTCCAGGAGCCCTTTAAAAACCAGGAGATGGTTATCTCTCAAAGGTGGCTTTAGCATGGCCCAATAAGAGCCAGGTGGTCTCAAAGTTTCTTTCTGAAATAAAACTACCCCGCAGAGAAGATGGTTGCTCCCCTTCTCCCCAATACCCACTCTCCCGGTCGGGGAACCCAGGGTCACCTGGTACCACTTGTGGACTTCTTTTTCCTTCCCAGGTTACTCCTTCTTTACGGACACTGAAGAGACCAAGGCTGCCATCAAAGACTGTAAGTAGCCAGGTTCACGTGGCCCAAGGCGGTGCCAAGGCCGCTGGTGGGCACCATGGGCTTGACGGTTCTTTTGTGACCACAACCGAAAAGTTGATGACCTAATAAACCAGTCACGGACCAGAAGACAGCAAGGGAAAATGTGGTGGGCAGAGCGCAGGGCCTGGGTTTATGGATTCCTCGTCCACCCCCAGACTCAGTTTCCCTATCTGTAAAATGGAGCGACCATCCCCGGTTGTGGTGAGTTGCAGAAATGGTGCATATGAAGTGCCTGGCAACACGGATGCTCCAGGCAGTGCTAGCTGTGAGCAACAATAACCATAATGACTAACCCTAGAGTCGATGTCTCCGAAGATCTGAGCTCCCTAAGTTTTTTTTTTTTTTATTCTTATGTTAATCCCCATACATTACATCATTAGTTTTAGATCAAGTGTTCCATGATTCATTGTTTGTGCATAACACCCAGTGCTCCATGCAGAACGTGCCCTCC